CTCTTGGAATTGCTCTGACTGCAAAGGAAATTCAGCTGCAGCTCAAGAGGCTGCTGGAGGAGGAGGAGGAGTTGAGTCACGCAGATTTTCAGGGAATATTTGGTTTGGATTAACAGGAGTTAGGCTGGACTAAAGCAGCTCCCCTATAAGATAATTCCCAAATTCCACTGGAAGTCAGACTCCCCATACCACCTACCCCAGCCCCAAACTTCTCCCCCTTCCCATCCCATATTTAACTACCTCTGGGCAGGGATTTCCCCAATCCTACACCTTTTTTTTTTTGTATTTTGGTGAAGAATTAAACCTGGATTTATCCCATCTAATCCCTCAGGATACAAGGGATGGATTTAGGCCCGGAACCCAGGGATCTCACAAGACAAAGGGATGAAGGGAAGAGCCAAACAAACCAGGGGGAGCACAGGGGAGCCTGAACCTCTGGGCTGTGCTCACCACGCCGGGGATCCACGGAGCCTGCTGGATGCATGGATGGGACTGGAGAGCAGAGGGAAGAGTTTGGGAGAAGGAGAGAACCAAACACAATTAGCTGGGGGAGGCAGCAGAGCAGCTGTAAAGGCAGCAACGAATCCACTCCGTGTGGATCAATGGGAATTTTCCAACTCCTGATGGAGATTCCACCTCATCCCTCCCTCCCTCAGCCATCCCAGCTCCAGGATCCCACATTCCAAGCAGGGAATGTGCTGCTGGATGCTCAGTTCAGGCTGTGCAGCAGCTCTGTTATCTCTCACAGCACCACAGCCACACTTGGAATGGCACCAGGGACCAAAATCCCACCTGCCCAGCAAGTGCTGCTCTCTCCAGGTGTTTTTCCAAGTGATTCCAACAGCAAAAACCTCCAAGAAGAGGATGAGAACTCAGCAGTGCCCACCCTGCCCTGGCTCTGCTCTCCAAGTTCCCCCAAACACAAAGTTGACAACAGAAAGAGGAAGAGAGTGAAGAGATTTCACCCAATTTCCTGCAAAACAACAGCTCTGAGCAGCAAAACCACCCTGAGATTTCACAGAGCCCCACGTTCACCAAAAATACCAAAACTGCCCCAAAACTTCAGCAAATCCCTGCAACTCTGGGCAGGGACAGCTCCATTCACCAGAAGTAACAGAACTGCCCCAAAACTGCAGGAACTCCTTGGAGTTTCAGGCAGGGACAGCTCCATTCACCAAAACTACAGGAATTCCCTGGAACTCTGGGCAGGGACAGCTCCATTCACCAAAAGCACCAAAACTGTCCCAAAACTGCAGCAATTCTCCTTGGAGCTCCATGCACAGACAGCTCCCGTGGCACCACATTGTTCAAAAATACCAAAACTGCCCCAAAACTACAGGAATTCCCTGGAACTCCGGGCAGGGACAGCTCCATTCACCAAAAATTCCAAAACTGTCCCAGAACTTCAGCAAAATCCCTGGAACTCTGGGCAGGGACAGCTCCATTCACCAAAAGCACCAAAAACTGCCCCAAAACTGCAGGAATTCCCTGGAACTCTGGGCAGGGACAGCTCCATTCACCAAAAGCACCAAAACTGCCCCAAAACTGCAGGAATTCCCTGGAACTCTGGGCAGGGACAGCTCCATTCACCAAAACTGCCCCAAAACTGCAGCAATTCCCTGGAACTCTGGGCAGGGACAGCTCCATTCACCAAAACTACAGGAATTCCCTGGAACTCTGGGCAGGGACAGCTCCATTCACCAAAAGCACCAAAACTGCCCCAAAACTGCAGCAATTCTCCTTGGAGCTCCATGCACAGACAGCTCCCGTGGCACCACATTGTTCAAAAGTACCAAAACTGCCCCAAAACTACAGGAATTCCCTGGAACTCTGGGCAGAGAGAGCTCCATCCACCAAAAGCACCAAAAACTGCCCCAAAACTGCAGGAATTCCCTGGAACTCTGGGCAGGGACAGCTCCATTCACCAAAAGCACCAAAAACTGCCCCAAAACTGCAGGAATTCCCTGGAACTCTGGGCAGGGACAGCTCCACATGCCCTGGAGGAGGGGTTTTCCTACTTCCAGGAATCTCATTAGTGCAGGGGGTAATTAGTGGATCAGATAAGCGGGGACAACCCCAGCCTGCTCTCCAGGATTGGTGCAATCCACACTCCCAGAAAGGAGCAGCTTCCAGCTTTGGAAAGGCTGAACTCCCTGTGAGAACTCCATTATAATAATTAATTAACTGGAATCCTGCACTTCCAGAACCGTGCTGTGACCAGGAGGAGCTGTGGGGTTGAATTTATTCCCATTTTGGTGGAATTTGCTCTCTCAGGCCCGGGAAGCTGAGATAAAGGAGCTATTTCTGCCCTCGGGGCTGGCAGGAGGTGCCAAGAGATAAAGGATTGGCACCAGGGAGGAACATCCTGATCTCCACCACCACCACCTTCATCCCCAAGCCAGGTGTGCTCCAGGCAGGTGGGAAGGATGAGGTTATTGTGGTTTAGGGTGAAAAGAAATCCTAATGATCCAGTTTTGAGTGTTGTTCGAGGGGGCTGTGCAGTTTTTGAGGTCACACCGAGGTGACCAAGCCCTTTGTTTGCAGATGGATTTGGCCAATCCCTCCTCCAAGTTCAATTCCAGCAGCTCTTGGGAAATGAGGCTCAAGTCCAGATCTCCAAGTGATTATGGCAGCTGATTAAAACATAATTTTGGGCAACTTTTAACTCTTTTGCTGCAGGAAAACAAAGCAGCAACCACAGAGCAGCACCAGGGGACAAGGAACAGTTTCATTCCTTTGTTTTATTCTCTGGAATTCAAACATTTCCTCTTTCAGATTGATCAGGGTCATAACACGCCTTGGAATGAGGAAAAACATGGAATGGTTTGGGTTGGCAGGACCTTAAATATCGTCCTGTCCCTTCCACTATCTCAGGCTGGCCTTGAACAATTCCAGGGATGGGGCAGCCACAGATTCCTGTGCCAGGGCCTCGAAACCAGGTGGGAAAAGAGGAAAAAAATGTGGAATTCCTCCAGTGGTCCGTGATGCCGGGGTGAGGTGACAGCTCCTTCCCTGAGCTGGCAGGGCAGATCCTGCCACTGACATTCCAGCCCCAGGAATGTGACAGGATGTGACTCCTCAGCTGGAATTCCCTCAATTCCACAGCACCGGCTTTTCCAGCTCCCTCTTCTCCCCCCAACCACTCCGGGGTGTTTCCTGGGATTCCCACAGGGAGATTTGGGGCTGTTCCCTCGAGGCACCGGGAGCCACAACACCCCCGGTGCGACTGGCACCAAACCCAGCCGTGCTGCGGCCAAAAATCTGGGGGTTTTCTGCCCAAAACCACAGCATTCCTTCCCCCAAAATCACCCTGTAGTGCCCCCAAAACCACGGCGTTCTTTCCCCCAAAACCACCCTATTCCTTTGCCCCAAACCTCCTTATTCTCCCTCTCAAACCACAGAGGTTCTTTACCCTAAAACTATCAGTTTTTTTCCCACCAAAACCACTCTATTTTCACCCCAAAAACCACCCTGCTCTCTGCCCCAAACCACCCTGTTCTCGACCCAAATCCTACCCCGTTCTCACCCCCAAACCCAGCCCGTTCTCACCCCCAAACCCAGCCCGTTTCTACCCTCAAACCCACCCCGTTTTCACCCCCAAACCCACCCCGTTTCTACCCCCAAACCCAGCCCGTTCTCACCCCCAAACCCAGCCCGTTCTCACCCCCAAACCCAGCCCCTTTCTACCCCCAAACCCACGCCGTTTTTGCCCCCAAACCCACGCCGGTTTTGCCCCCAAACCCACCCCGTTTCTACCCCCAAACCCAGCCCGTTCTCACCCCCAAACCCAGCCCGTTCTCACCCCCAAACCCAGCCCGTTCTCACCCCCAAACCCACCCCGTCCTGGCCCCCAAACCCAGCCCGTCCTGGCCCCCAAACCCAGCCCGTTTCTGCCCCCAAACCCACCCCGTTTTTGCCCCCAAACCCACCCCGTTTCTACCCCCAAACCCAGTCCGTTTTTGCCCCCGATCCCCACCGTTCCCCCCCATCCCCGCGCCGGTCCCGCCTCTGCCCCCGCACAACCCCCGTAACCGCCGGGCCAGCACCGTTATCCTCCCGCCACCACCGCAGCGCTCCCCTGTGCCACAAACACCGCGGGGCCCACCCGCACCAGCCCCAACCGGGGCTGTCCGCCCCTCGGCCACACCGGAGAGCACCGAGCGGCGGGCGGGGGTGGGGGGGGGAGGGCACCGAGGGGGCGCATCCGGTGCGGCGCGGGCTCCGCAGGCCCCGCCGCCTATCCGCGCTACCTTTGGCCTGGCAGTCGGCGCAGAACTTGTTCTCGTCCTCGGCCAGCAGCCCGGCCAGCACCGCCTGGTAGCGCTCCACGTCCCGCACGGATTTTCCCGTCATGGCGCGGCCGGCGCTGCCCGCCCGCGGGTCACGGCCGGCCCGCCCGCTTCCTGCTTCCGCTGTGGGCGGGGCTACCGCCGGGGGAGGAGCCAATCAGCGCCGGCCCCGCCGCCGCGGGAACGCCTCCTCCGCGCGCCGCCGGTGCGGGGTGCTGATTGGTTGCGGCGCGCGGGCGGAAGCCAATAGGGAGAGAGGGGCGGGGCCAGCGAGGGGATGAATGGGGAGGGTGACGTGTGAGAGTGGGGGGACAATGGGGGGGACAATGGGGGGGACAATGGGGGGGACAACAATGGGGGGACAGGCAGGGGATGGGGACACTGGGGGCGGAGGTGATGGCCGGGGGGCTTAGGGGTGCTGGGAGTGCTGGGTGGAGGTTTGTGGGGTGCTGGGTGGGGGTCCTGGGATGTTAGATGGGAGTTTTGGGGGGTTCAGAGAGGCTGGGTGGGGGATTTGGGGGGCCTCAGGGATACAGAGGTGCTGTATGTGGGGTTTTGGGGGGGCTCAGGTATGGTGAATAGGGGATTTTGGGGGGCTCCGTGGTGCTCAGGGGTACAGAGATGCTGTATGTGGGGTTTTGGGAGGCTCAGGGATGCTTGGTGGGGGATTTTGGGGGGCTCAGAGGAGCTGGGTGGGGGATTTGGGGTGCTCAGGGGTACAGAGGTGTTGTATGTGGGGTTTTGGGGGGCTCCAAATCCATACCCATCGTGCCAAATCCTGTCACCATCGTGCCTAATCCTGTTCCCATCGTGCCAAACTCCGTCCCCATCGTGCCAAACTGTCCCCATCGTGCCAAGTCCTGTCCCCATCGTGCCTAACTTTGTCCCCATCGTGCCAAATCCTGTCATCATCGTGCCAAATCCTGTCACCATAGTGCCAACTTTGTCCCTATCGTGCCAAATTCTGTCACCATCGTGCCAAATCCTGTCACCATCGTGCCTAACTTTGTCCCCATCGTGCCAAACTCCGTCCCCATCGTGCCAAATCCTGTCCCCATCGTGCCAAATCCTGTCACCATAGTGCCAACTTTGTCCCCATCGTGCCAAATCCTGTCCCCATCGTGCCAAATCCTGTCACCATAGTGCCAAACTGTCCCCATCGTGCCAAATCCTGTCCCCATCGTGCCAAACTGTCCCCATCGTGCCAATCCTTCTGTCCCCATCCAGCCCGTAACAGCCACGGGCTCACCTGAGAGGGGCGGGGACCTGCCCTATTCTGCTCCATATTAATGAGCCCTTCCTCCTCCTCCTCCTCCTCCTCCTCCTCCTCCTCCTCCTCTTTCCCCTGCCGGTGTCCCGGAGCGCTGCCCGGTGCCAGCCGCGCTCGGTGCCAGCCCGGCTCGCCATGGCCCGTGTCCCCCTGGCCCGTGTCACCCTCGTGTCGCAGCTCTGGCTCCTGCTCCAAACCTCCTGCCTCTGCCTGGCCCAGCTCGTAAGTGCCGTGCTCGATTCCCGGCTGGAACGGGGATGGAGAGGGGATGGAGGGTGGATGGAGAGGGGACAGTCCCCATCTCGCACTTTGGGTTTATTCCCCCAGCACTTTTCCCCTGTTTTTCCCAGGAATGGAGAGGGAACATTCCCCATCTCCTCTCCCTCGCAGTCCTGAGCATTTTGGGTTTATTCCCCCAGCACTTTTCTCTTCTTTTTCCCAGGAATTCTCCCCCGGGAGGGTGGATGGAGAGGGGACATTCCCCATCTCGCATTTTGGGTTTATTCCCCCAGCACTGCTCCCTTCTTTTTCCCAGGAATTCTCCCCTGGGAGGGTGAATGGAGAGGGGACATTCCCCATCTCGCACTTTGGGTTTATTCCCCCAGCACTTTCCCCTTCTTTTTCCCAGGAATTCCCTTGTTTTTCCCACCCCGGGAGGGTGGGAACAGCACAGCCCCGACCCGCTGGAGACTTCCCCGTGCGAGAAGTGCGGGTTTGGAAATTCGGGAATTGTTGGCTAAACGAGTTTAGTTTGATCAATTTAGTTTGATTTCCCCCTCCCCGGAGCAGCAGTTGGGGGCTCGGTCCTTCCCGCTGGATTTCCTGGGAAATTTGCTCCTGTTTTCCTGGGGTGTGCTGCAGATCCGGACTGAGCAGGGCTGGGGGGGCTCTGACCCTTTTGGGGTGATCCCAGGGCTCCTGGGGGCTGTCAGGGGGTCCCTCTGCACTCTCCAGACTCACCCAGGGGCAGGAGAAAATGGATCTGGAAAAAGGGAAGGTGAGCCCTGGAGAGGGGCAGGCAGTGGGATTCCACCTGGGAAAACTCTCCTTGCTTTACAGATGCAAAAAAAATCAGATTTTAGAGGTTTTGGGAATTTTTTTCCATGTAGTTCTTGAGCTGCCTGTTGGAAACTGGGGGACAACACCTTCCTAAACCCCCCCCACCCCCCCCCCGGGGTTGTGGGGCAGGGGAGCGGAGCAAGGGGGATGTGGGAATTTTGGGAACAAGGAACCCTTTGGAATTCCGTTCCTCGGGCAGGACAAAGGTGCCATTCAGGGAGATCCCAGGGATGGGGATCGCTCCCTGCCGGGCTCAGGGATTGATCCAAGGTGGGGTTGGGGCTCTCCTGTTGTGTACACGAACCAGCAGCACCTCTCACCCGTATAGATTTACATTGATACCTACATTTATTCCTTATATTTATATTTATTTTTTAAATTAATCCAGCCTAGGAGGCTGGAGGAGCTGCAGGAGCGCAGCCCAGCCACCGTCTGCTTCCCATTTGCAGGAACACCAGGGCTTCAGTCTGCAGGACTGGAATATCTTTTCCCCCTGAACTCCCTGTTAGGATAACAGAGGTTTCTTTACCGAGCCCTGTGCAAACCTCAAAGCCAGCACCGGGAGCTTCCCTGAATGGAGCTTTTGTCCAGAGCCCGGGAGCAGAGCCAGCCTGGCCCAGGGAGAGCTCACACAGAGGGGCTGGGGGTCCCCACCTCATCCTGGGGGTTTGGGGCACCTAAATCCTGCCAGGGCTCCCAGAAATCCCACTCTGAGGAAAGGGGGTTTGGAAGAGCTGCTGTCACCCCATGGACACCCTGATCTGTCAGGGCAGGAGCTCTGGGAAAGGGGAAAGGGGGACAGAGATGGGGTAGGAATGCTTGGAGATCCTGCTCCATTCAGGCAGGAGCACCAGGGAAAGAAAGAAAGAAATGGGGTAAAAATGTCATCCTGTGGAGATCCTGCTCCATCCAGGCAGGAGCACCAGGGAAAGAAGGAAAGAAATGGGGTAAAAATGTCATCCCGTGGAGATGCTGCTCTGTGGGGGCAGGAGATCCTCGGACACGAAGGAAAGAGGGAAAGAAATGGGGTAAAAATGTCATAATGTGGAGATCCTTCTCTGTTGGAGCAGGAGATTTTCAGACACCAGGGAAAGGAGGGGCAGAGATGGGGTAAAAATGTCATCCCATGGAGATCCCTGCTCCATCAGGGCAGGAGATCCTCGGACGTGAGGGAAAGAGGGGGCAGAAATGGGGTAAAAATGTTCTCTTGTGGAGATCCTTCTCTGTTGGAGCAGGAGATCCTTGGACATGAGGGAAACAGGGAAAGAAATGGGGTAAAAATGTGATCCCATGGAGATCCTGCTCCGTGGGGGCAGGAGATCCCTGGACACCAGGGTAAGAGGAAGGAGGGGTAAAAACGCTGCCATCACCCCATGGAGACCCTGCTCTGTTCCCCACGGACACCAGGCAGGAGATGGATGAAATGGGATAAAAACTGGGCAGGGAATGAGGAGCTGGAGGTGCCAGCGTGAGAAATCCTGGATTTCCCCATCCATGCCCTTGCTGGGGGACCCACAGGAGAGGCAGAGCTCTGCCCCACACATTCCCCACACATCTTGGGGTCCTTCCTGACATGGATCCCATCCCTTTTTTGCCCCCATAGCGAGGGCCACCAGGAGAACCTGGCCCACGAGGGCCCCCCGGTCCCCCAGGAGTGCCAGGAGCCGATGGCATCGACGTGAGGAACTTGTGTGGGCTGTGGGAGGGAGGGAGGGAGGGGACACCGGCACAAAAGGGACATTGTGAGTGGCACAGGGCTGGGGGGGGCCTCTCTGTGCTGTTCCCACTCCTGATTTAGGGCTGGCAGAGCGGCCCCGGCTCTGCACCCCAAATCCAGAGCAATCCACAGCTCGGGAATTTGGGGTGGGATTGGTTTTTGGGGGATGCAGGGGTGAGGGGGAGGATGCTCGGAAGGGGGGACAGTGACATCCCAGTGGGGTTCTGCAGAGGGATGTGGTGGGGGATTGTGGCTCTGGATCCTCCACGGTTTGTGGAATGGGGGCTCGGACAGAGGGGAGCCCTGTGAGGCAGCAGAAAGTGCCCTTTCTCCAGGATGTGGTGTTATTTTAGTGTTATTTATAGCCAGAGCAGGCACAGCGCTTCAGAAACACTGTCAAGCCCTCACAAAACCCCAGCACAACCCTCACAAAAATCCCATCAAACCCCTCACAAAACCCCACTTCACAAACCCCAGCAAAACCCTCACAAAACCCCAGCAAAACCCTCACAAAACCCCAGCAAAACCCTCACAAAACCCCAGTAAAACCCTCACAAAATCTCATCAAGCCCCTCACAAAACCCCACTTCACAAACCTGAGTAAAACCCTCACAAAACCCCAGCAAAACCCTCACAAAACCCCACTTCACAAACCCCAGTAAAACCCTCACAAAATCTCATCAAGCCCCTCACAAAACCCCCAAAACCCCTCACAAACCCTATCAAACCCTCACAAAATCCCAGCTCATCCCTCAGAAAACCCCGCTTCACAAACCCCAATAAAACCCTGACTAACTTCAAAAAACCCTCACAAAACCCCCCAAAACCTTCACAAAACCCCATCAAACCCCTCACAAAATCCCATCACAACCCTCACAAAATCCCAGTAAAACCCTCACCAAAGCCCCCTCAGAAACTCCATCAAGCCCTCACAAAACCCCACTTCAAAAATCCCAATAAAAACCCTCACAAATCCCCCCAAACCCTCACAGAACCCAAATAAACTAGTGACAAACCCCCAAAAAATGCTCACAAAACCCCAGCTCAACCCTCAGAAAACCCCACTTACAAACCCAAATAAAACCCTCACAAACACCAATAAAACCCGATAAACCCCAAAAAACACTCACAAACCCAAGCCGAACCCTCTTTTCCTGCCCTGCCTGTGGGATCCAGCAGCTCCCTCCTGTCTGAGGAGTGGGATAGGGATTGGGATAATGGGATGAGCTCTGTGGGGCTGGGATTGGGATAATGGGATGGGCTCTGTGGGGCAGGGATTGGGATAATGGGATGGGCTCTGTGGGGAAGGGATTGGGATAATGGGATGGGCTCGGTGGGGCAGGAATTGGGATAATGGGATGGGCTCTGTGGGGCAGGGATTGGGATAATGGGGTGGGCTCTGTGGGGCAGGGATTGGGATCCTGGGATGGGCTCGGTGGGGCAGGGATTGGGATAATGGGGTGGGATCTGTGGGGCAGGGATTGGGATAATGGGATGGGCTTGGTGGGGCAGGGATTGGGATAATGGAGTGGGCTCTGTGGGGAGGGTTTGGGATCCCGGGATGGGCTCTGTGGGGCAGGGTTTGGGATCCCGGGATGGGCTCTGTGGGGAAGGCATCAGGATCCCGGGATGGGCTCTGTGGGGAGGGTTTGGGATCCCGGGATGGGCTCTGTGGGGCAGGGATCGGGATCCTTGGGATGGGCTCTGTGGGGCAGGGATCGGGATCCCGGGATGGGCTCTATGGGGTGCCCGGTCCCTTTCCCACCTCCCGTTTCCCCAGGGTGACAAAGGCCCTGTAGGATCTGCCGGCTCCCCGGTGAGTCCCCACCCTGTCCCTCAGCCTGGCGGTGATCCCGCGCCTTCCCCGGGGCCTGGTTCCAGCCTGATCCCAATTTTTCATTTTTCCAGGGTGTCAAGGGCGAGCCTGGAGCTCCTGGTCCGGATGGAGCCCCAGGGAAGCCGGGCATTGATGTGAGAACCGACCCTGTCCCCTCGTGCTGTCCCTGCCTGTGGGGTCACAGCGAGCTGCTGTCGGCCCCACATAAATATGTGCCCAAATCCCTCTGGGCAGGAGCTGAAAGCACCTTGGGAATCCCAAATGAGCTCGGGAAGAGCTTGTGCCACCCTTTTCCACCTTTGGGATCCCAGCAGAGCTCAGGAAGAGCTTCTGCCACTCCTGCCCACTTTGGGAATCCTAAAAGAGCTTCTGCTACTCCTGCCCACCTTGGGAATCCCAAAAGAGCTTCTGCCACTCCTGCCCACTTTGGGAATCCCAAAAGAGCTTCTGCCACTCCTGCCCACCTTGGGAATCCCAAAAGAGCTTTTGCCACCCCCTCCCACTTTGGGAATCCCAAAAAAGCTTCTGCCACTCCTGCCCACTTTGGGAATCCCAAAAGAGCTTCTGCCACTCCTGCCCACCTTGGGAATCCCAAAAGAGCTTTTGCCACCCCCTCCCACTTTGGGAATCCCAAAAAAGCTTCTGCCACTCCTGCCCACTTTGGGAATCCCAAAAAAGCTTCTGCCACTCCTGCCCACTTTGGGAATCCCAAAAGAGCTTTTGGGATCAGGGATGGGTGGAGCTGCCCACGTGTCCCTGCCAGGGCTGAATGTGCCCAGGGGGGATGTGAGGGTCCCTGCAGGGTGTCCCTGTGCTAATTCCACTCTTGGCCCCTCCCGATGGATTCAGCCCAGCCAGAATTCCTGGCTGGAAACAGGAGGAATGGGAATAACTCGCTGGGTCTCTTCCCTTGCAGGGCCTGACGGGAGCCAAAGGGGAGCCAGGACCCATTGGCAGGCCAGGAGTCAAAGTGAGTGAGGGGCAGCCCCGTCCCCCTCATTCCCAGGATCCCAATTCCCAAATTCCCACCTTCCCAGATTCCCACCTTCCTGAATTCCCACCTTCCCGAATTCCCACCTTCCCGAATTCTTACCTTCCCAATTTCCCACCTTTCCAAATTCCCACCTTCTCAAATTCCTACCTTCCCAAATTCTCTCATTCCTAATTTCCCACCTTCCCAAGCTCCCCCATTCCCAGACTCCCACCTTCCCATATTTCCACCCTTTTAAGGATTCCACCTTCCCAAATTCCATCCTCCCCAAATTCCCACATTTCCAAGTATCCCACCTTCCCAATTCCCAACTTTCCCAAATTCCCACCTTCCCAATTTCCCACCTATCCAAGTTCCCACCTTCCCAGGCTCCCACTTCCCTCCCAGCCCCAGCCTGGGGCCATCCCCATCACTCTGGATGGGATCCATGATGCAGGAACTGCCTGATGGAGTTTTTGATGGAGTTTTTGATGGAGTTTTTGATGGAGTTTTTGGCCCTGATGGAGTTTTTGGCCCTGAGGCTGCATCCAGGGAGGGGGAATTGGAGCAGCTGCCAGAGCAGATCCTCCTTTTCCAGCTCCTGACTCTCCTCTTGTGTCCTGGCAGGGCCAGCCCGGACTCCCAGGGCCACCAGGGCTCCCTGTGAGTATCTGCTCTCCCACGGGTGGGGTGGGCACCCCCCAAGTCCCCCCTGCTCCATCCTTGCTGGTGGGGTGGGAATCGCCCTCCTTGGGGCAGGAATTCTGGAGGATTTGGGGAATTGGAACCAATTGTCATTTTCTTTTTGTCACAGGGTCCTTCACTGCCAGGACCCCCCGTAAGTGCCACTCTAGGGCTGGGATGGGTGGCCTGGGATCCTGCTTGGAATTGTGCAGGAGGAGCTCAAACCTCAGCACCACCTGAGGGGAGGAATTGGGAAATTCCATGAATTTCTCTCCCTTCTCCCTTTAGGGGCTTCCAGGCCAGGTTGGACTTCCCGGGGAGATCGGAGTGCTGGGACCCAAGGTGAGGAGCCAGGAGGGGACAGGGGAGAACCTCCCCTCCTTCCTCCAGGAGCAGCTTCTGTGCCCTCCAGGGCTCCTGGGATAACCAGGGGTGACCCTGAAACTTGGGAATGGAGGTTCCCTGTGTGCCATCACCCTGGGGATGTCCCCATTCCTGCTGGGACATCCTGGCAATGGAGGTTCCCCTGGTGCCATCACCCTGGGGATGTCCCCACTCCTGCTGGGACATCCTGGCAATGGAGGTTCCCCTGGTGCCATCACCCTGGGGATGTCCCTGTTCCTGCTGGGACATCCTGGCAATGGAGGTTCCCCTGGTGCCATCACCCTGGGGATGTCCCCACTCCTGCTGGGACATCCTGGCTCTCTGGGTCTCCATCTCATCCCAAATTCTCCTTTCCTGGCCTTCTTTCCTAGGGTGACCCCGGACCCGACGGCCCGAGGGGTCCCCCAGGTCCTCCAGGGAAACCTGTGAGTATCTCCCAGCCACCTCCAGGAGGGAGAAGCTTCCCCAGGCTCATCCCAGGGATTGGGGCTGGAATTTGGGCTCTGGCTCTCACCTCCCACCCCATTCCTTGTTCCCTGCTCCTGTAAAACCACCCTGATATAAAATCCTGGAATGCTGATGGTTTCCCTCCCTGCAGGGCCTCCCAGGACACCTCCAAGGCCTGGAAGGCAGCGCTGATTTCCTGGTGAGAGCTGCCATGACCTTGTCCCCTGCTGTGACCCGGGTGTCCCACGTGGAGCAGGACCCCTCCCTCCCTCTCTTCCCAGGCCTCTCCAGGTCATTCCAAACTCATCCTTGTCCTTCCTCTCCTCCCAGTGCCCCACCAGCTGCCCCCCAGGCCCCAAGGGCCCCCAGGGACTGCAAGGATTGAAGGTAAGGAAGTCCTGGAGCTGCCATGGTGGGGGAAAAATGGGAATTGTCACCTCCAGGATGTGGTGGAGTGAAGGATCCTTCTTTGGGATCTCTGGAGCACCAGGACAGGGAGGTCTGGAGGAAAAGGTGTTGTGGGAAAGGTCCCTGAGGGTCCCCAGCCCCTGTGCCAAAGTCCCAACCCCAGCTCAGGATGTCACCTGTGGGATTCTGAAATCGTGTTCCCGTTGGGATTCTGAGCCCCTCAAATGTTCCTGTTGGGATTCTGAGCCCATTCCATGTCCCCAGTGGGATTTAAGCCCTTCAATGTCACCAGTGGGACTCTGAACCCATTCCATGTTCCCATTGCGATTCTGAGCCTCCCAATGTCCCTGCTGGGACTCTGAGCCCATTCCATGTCACCTGTGGGACTTTGAGACCCTCAATGTCCCTATTGGGATTCTGAGCCCCCCAGTGTCCCCAGTGGGATTCTGAGCCCCCCAAATGTCCCTACTGGGATTCTGAGCCCATTCCATGTCCCCGGTGGGATTTTAAGCCCTGCAATGTCACCAGTGGGACTCTGAACCCATTCCATGTCACCTGTGGGACTTTGAGATCCTCAATGTCCCTATTGGGATTCTGAGCCCCCCAGTGTCCCCAGTGGGATTCTGAGCCCCCCAAATGTCCCTACTGGGATTCTGAGCCCATTCCATGTCCCCAGTGGGATTCTGAGCCCATTCCATGTCACCAGTGGGATTCTGAACCTGTTCCAAGTCCCCAGTGGGATTCTGAGCCCCCCAGTGTCACCAGTGGGACTCTGAACCCACTCCATGTTCCCACTGGGATTCGATTCCGAGCCCCCCAATGTCCCCAGCGGCACCCCAGGGTGGGATGTGGTGCCAGGGTGGCTCTGTGGGACGTGGCCACCGGGATGGTGCCACCACCCTGCAGCTCTGCCAGGGATTTTCCTCACGGATTTCCTCTCCCCCCGCAGGGACACAGAGGCCGCCCCGGCGCCCTCGGAGAGCCCGGCAAGCAGGGAGAGCCGGTGAGTGACCCGGCAGGATCCCAGATGGCTCCCAGCCAGATCCCAGCAGGATTCCAGCAGGATCCCAGCCAGATCCCAGCAGTATTCTAGCGGGATCTCAGCAGGATCCCAGCCAGATTCCAGCAGGATCTCAGCAGGATCCCAGCCGGATCCCAGCCGGATCCCAGCCAGATCCCAACAGGATCCCAACCAGATTCCAGCAGGATCTCAGCTGATCTTACCCAAATTCCAGCCAGATCCCAGATGGATCCCAGCAGGATCCCAGCCAGATCCCAGCAAGATCCCAGCAGGATCTCAGCCAGATCCCAGCCAGATCTCAGCCAGATCCCAGTAGGCTTTCAGCAGGATCTCAGCCAGATCCTGGAAGGATCCCAGCCAGATCCCAGCCAGATCCCAGCAGGATCCCTACAGGATCTCAGCTGGATCTAGCTGGATCCCTTCCGGATCTCAGCAGGATCTCAGACAGATTCCAGCATGATCCCAACATGATCACTTCAGGATCTCAGCTGGATCCCAGTAGGATTCCAGATGGGACCCAGCAGGATCCCAGCAGGATCCCAGCAGGATCTCAGCCAGATCCCTTCAGGATCTCAGCAGGATCCCAGCCAGATCCCTTCAGGATCTCAGCCAGATCCCTTCAGGATCTCAGCTGGATCCCAGACGGATTCCAGACGGATCCCATCAGGATCCCATCAGGATCCCATCAGGATCCAGGTGTGGCCGTCCCTGTGGGGCTGGAAGCAGGGAAGGCGTTTTGGGAAGGGAAAGGAAGATGGGAGGAAAGAGGAAAACGGAAAATGTGGGAATGGGAGACCAGGGTGGCTTCCTGGGCAGGGCCACCTGTGCCCATCCCTGTGGGTGCCAGCTGGGGCTGGGGTGTCCCCAGGCTGCTCTGTGTCCCCTGTCCCTCCAACATTCCCTTTTCTCTGCATTCCCAGGGCCCCAAGGGGGACGTCGGTGCCTCTGGAGAACAAGGAGTCCCAGGCCCTCCGGTAAATCCTGCATTCCTCTTTTCCTCTGTCCCCCACATCCCACAGGAACTGGGGGTGGCCTCTTTGTCCTTGTCCCCAGACACCAGGGAGGTGACACCGGCCTGTCCCCGCTCCCAGCAAAGCCTCCATCCCATCCCTTCCTCTGGAGCACTCCAGGGCTGTTCCCAGGGATAATTTGGGATAAATTCCCTCTGTCCCCTGACTCCCCCTTGCCCCGAGGAGGGGGGGAATTAAATCCACAGGAATTCTCGGAGCACTTTGAAGATGAAAAGCAATTACTGGGCTGAGCTTTCCAGGCCAGGAAAGGGCAAAACTGCTTTGAAGGCAAGAGCTGTGGCTGCAGTTTGGGCCCTCTGGAGTTATGGAACTGACAGCTGGAAAAGCACCTGCTGAGGGGCTTTGGAATTAGGAGGGTCTGGAATTCCTCCTGTTTGGCAAAGCTGGTGGAGTTCAGCTTTTGCTGTAATTGCTGCTTCCCCCTGGGCTGCTCCTGGGGGTTTTTATCCGGCTGAATTGGCTGTGCTTTCCTTCCCTGCAGGGACCTCAGGGCCTCAGGGGCTATCCTGGCATGGCAGGACCCAAGGGGGAGACGGTGAGTGTGGGGGTGGCATCCCCTGGCTCTGGGATCGGGGCTCCAGGTGCCACCCAGATCATTCCCAGACGTGCTGGGCCGTCTCAGGGATGCCAGGATGGATTGGGGTGGGAATTGACCTTTCCATGCTCTTTTTTCCAGGGCCCTGCTGGCTACAAGGGCATGGTCGGGAGCATCGGAGCCGCCGGGCGGCCGGTGGGTGCCCCCTCACCCCTGGGTGCTCTGGGATCCCACTGTGCCCTGCTCAATCCTTCTTCTCCTCCCTTCTCCAGGGCAGGGAAGGCCCCAAGGGACCACCTGGGGACGCTGGTGACAAGGGGGAGCTGGTAGGTGACCCCCCCTCCAGTGCTGGTGTCCCCTTTTCCCCAGCTTGGCACCGTTCCCACATGGAAGGGGCTGTGCCCGGGGTGCCCTCGAGGGGCATCTCCATCTCCCAGCCCTGTCCCCTGTGCCAGCAGGACACTGACACTTGTCCCCTCCTGCTCTAGGGCGGCCGTGGCATCAGGGGACCCCAGGGTGACATCGGCCCCAAGGGGGAGAATGTGAGTACAGCTGGTGGCACCTGTGCCCTGCCTGGGCAGAGTGCCCTGTCCCTGCTGTGCCATCACCACCACCTGTCCTTGTCCCCTCCAGCACACACCTGGAATGTCCCTTTCCCTCCCCACGGTTTTGTTGTCCCCACCGTGAGCCTTCGAGTCCTTTCGAGGTGTCCCACGGGTGACTCGTCCCCCTTTTCAGGGTCTCCCGGGCATCGATGGCAAGGATGGCACCCCAGGGATCCCAGGAGTGAAGGTGAGGGAATGCCACCCGCTGGGAATCACGGGCATGGCAAAGGGAACAGCGTCCCTTGGCACGGCAGCTCCTGCCCAGGGGCTCAGGGGCAGTGTCCCCCTTGGCCAGGAGCCCCTTGTCACTCCTGGTGACACCCCACTCCTGGTGACACCCCCTCTGTCCCTCGCAGGGTGGCACGGGACAGGCGGGACGCCCGGGAACGCCGGGACACCGGGGACAAGCTGTGAGTGCAGGACCCCCAGCCTGTCCCCTGAGGGGTGACACCCTCTGCCAGGGGTGCCAGGGCCCGTGGGGACACTGAGCTGTGCCCTGGGGTGACACCCTGAGGGGACACTGAGCTGTGCCCAGGGGTGACACCCTGAGGGGACACTGAGCTGTGCCCTGGGGTGACACCCTGAGGGGACACTGAGCTGTGCCCTGGGGTGACACCCTGAGGGGACACTGAGCTGTGCCCTGGGGTGACACCCTGAGGGGACACTGAGCTGTGCCCAGGGGTGACACCCTGAGGGGACACTGAGCTGTGCCCTGGGGTGGCACCCTGAGGGGACACTGAGCTGTGCCCTGGGTTTGATCCCGGCTTTGTTTCCTCAGGGATTGCCGGGCCAGCCGGGAAACAAAGGTGGCCCGGGTGACAAGGTGGGTGGCACCTCTGAGCACCCACCCCGCTGCTCTTGTCCCCCTCCCTGTCCCAGCTGTCCCCACTGTCCCTCCCTGTCCCTTCTGTCCCTCCCTGTCCATTCCATCCCCGCTATCCCCTCTGTCCCCTCCCTATCCCCTCTGTCCCCTCCCTGTCCCCGCTGTCCCCTCCCTGTCCCCGCTGTCCCCTCACCTCTCTCTCCCCTCACAGGGTGAATTGGGTCCTCGGGGCCACCCCGGTGTCACCGGTGCCCCAGGACAGCTTGTAAGTACCTGGCACTGTGTCCCTCGGGGCTGATCTCTCTTTTTTTTTTTTTTCCCCTTTTTCCCCCATTTCCCGCACCCCAAAAGCAGAATTGGGCACTTGAATCGGGCACTTCATCCCCACCCTGCTCCTGTCACCACCCAGCAGTGGCAGTGGTGACAAGGACAGGGCCACCCCTCCCCAGGGGAAGGAGCGCAGAGTGAGTCCCACCTTCTGGGGGATTTTCTTTCCCGTTTTTAGGGCGAGCCGGGACCTCGGGGCGAGCAGGGCCCGCAGGGTGTCCCCGGGCCGAAGGTGAGTTGGGGACACGGCGAGTGGGGAGGTGGCGGTGCCAGGGGGTGGCCCTGACCCCGCTCCTGTCCCGGCTCTCCACAGGGTGACAGGGGCGAGCGGGGCCTCGTGGGGCCCCCCGGCGAGCAGGGCAGAGCGGTGAGTTGTCCCCAAAGCTGGTGAGTTGTCCCCAAATCCAGGCTGGGATGTATTTTGAGTTGTCCCCAAAGCTGGTGAGTTGTCCCCAAATCCAGGCTGGGACACAGGGAATGATCTGAGTTGTCCCCAGAGCCACTCTAGCACATGGGGGATGCTCTGAGTTGTCCCCAGAGCTAGGCTGGGACACAGGGATTGCTCTGAGTTGTCCCCAAATCCAGGCTGGGATGTGTTTTGAGTTGTCCCCAAAGCTGGTAAGTTGTCCCCAAATCCACTCTGGGACACTGGACATGCTCTGAGTTGTCCCCAGATCCCAGCTGGGACGCAGAACATGCTCTGAGTTGTCCCCAAACCCAGGCTGGCACTCGGGGGACGCTCAGCCCCAGGATGGGGGATCCCAAGGCTGGATTTGGGATCAGCAGGACACAGCCACACCTCCCCCTTTGATCCCGGGTCAGTCCCGTGCCTGTCCTGCTGCTGAGGGATTAGGGAACAGCTCAGGGATTAATGGGACCCTGGCTGGGACAGGAATTTCCTCCTGTCCCAGGAGAGCTCAGCCCCTCTGCAGAGCTTTCCTTCCCTGGGAAAACAGCCAAAAACCTGATTTGTGCTGCTTTTCCAGGGGACAGGAAAATCACTGCCCTTGGCATGGCTTCTCCGTGGGTTTGTGCCCTGTGTCCCCTCAGAGCTGGGATTTAGGGAAGGTTGGGATCAGCTGGAGGATGGGGAGTTGCCTTGGGGACAAGTCCCTGATGGGTAAAAGTCTTTCCATTGTCTCCTCTCACTCATTTTCCCGTATTCCTTGGATTTCCAGGGGCCAAAGGGTGAGCAGGGCCCAGCAGGCGTCCCAGGACCCCAAGGCTTGCCTGGAGTCAAAGGAGACAAGGTGACAGCTCTGGGGACAGCAAGGTGGCTTCTTGGGGACACTGCTCTGAGTGTCCCAATTTTTCCTTTCCCAATTTTTCCTTTCCCCAGGGCTCTCCAGGGAAAACCGGCCCCAAAGGCAGCGTTGTGAGTACATCCCAGGCTGTGCAGGGGTTTAGCAGAGCTGGGTTTAACAGAGCTGGGATTAACAAACACTGGCTCTAGGCACCTTCTCCATGAATCCCCCCCTCATTCCAGAGGTTGGGGGGCACTTTGGGAATGTTCCCACCTCTCCTTGCCTTTCCTTTAGGGAGATCCCGGTGTCCACGGCCTGGCAGGGCTCAAGGGAGAGAAGGTGAGTGATTCCAGAGGATTCCTGGGAATGCTGGGGAGTCCTGCCTGGCATTAAATCCCAGCTCCAGCCTGAAATTCCTGCTGTTTCCTCATCGCCTTTCCCGTGTCCTCTGTCCCCAGGGGGAGTCAGGAGAGCCAGGACCCAAGGGACAGGTGAGTGGTGGGCTTTGGGACCCCCCACAACTTGGGGGGATTTGTGGGATCCTCCTGGCTGAGGTACTGAGGGAATATTTTCCCTGGATTCACCTCAGCTTCTCTTTGGGGTTAAACCCTGGAGTCAGGCTCGGTTCTGGGCTCAGCCCTGGGTTCAGGCTCAGCCCCAGTTTTTGGGATCCAGCCCTGGGTGCAGCTCCAGCCCAAACTTTTGGGATCCAACCCTGGGTTCAGCCCTAGCCCAAATTTTTGGGATCCAGCCCTGGATTCAAGTTCAACCCCAATTTTTGGGATCCAACCCTGGGTTCAGCCCCAGCCCATTTGGGATCCAGCCCAAACTTTAGGGATCCAACCCTGGGTTCAGCCCCAGCCCAAACTTTTGGGATCCGACCCTGGGTTCAGCCCCAGCCCATTTGGGATCCAGCCCTGCCTGTGGTTTTTGGGGGATTTTGGGCTCTCGGGGTGCCCAGCACAGCCTGAGCCGCTCCTGCCCCTCTCTCTCCATCCCTCCCCCAGCAAGGCATCCAGGGCGACCTCGGCTTCCCCGGCCCCTCGGGGGATGCAGGAGCACCGGGAATTCGGGGCTATCCCGGCCCTCCCGGCCCTCGGGGGCTGGTGGGGGAGCGCGGAGTGCCGGGAATGCCGGGCCCTCGGGGCACAGCCGTGAGTATCCCGATCCCACATCCCTCCTGATCCCACATCCCTCCTGATCCCACATCCCTCCCGATCCCACATCCCTCCTGATCCCACATCCCTCCCGATCCCACATCCCTCCCGATCCCACATCCCTCCCGATCCCACATCCCTCCTGATCCCACATCCCTCCTGATCCCACATCCCTCCCGATCCCACATCCCTCCCGATCCCACATCCCTCCTGATCCCACATCCCTTCCGATCCCACATCCCTCCTGATCCCACATCCCTCCCGATCCCACATCCCCCCCGATCCCACATCCCTCCTGATCCCACATCCCTCCTGATCCCACATCCCTCCTGATCCCACATCCCTCCCGATCCCACATCCCTCCCGATCCCACATCCCTCCTCACCCTCTCCAGCTCGCCAGGAATTCAGGAATTGCCTCTCCTTCCCACCCAGCTCCTCTGGGATCCCGCCTTCCTGGGGAGGAATTCCATCATTCCCACTGTGTGTGGCAGCCAAAAACCGTCCCTATATAAACCAGCCAGCAGCAGGGATTTGTAGGGTTGGGATTTTCCCCTAAAAAAACTCATTTTGGACTCAAATGCCGCGAGCACGGAGCGAGCTGAGCGTGGAGCACTTGGATTGGGAAGAGCAGGGTGGGAAGGTGACCTGGGATGCAGGAAGGGCATTGGGATCGGGATTTGGGCTGGGAGGGGCTCTGGGGGGGACAGAGGGAGCGAAATTCCCTTCCTGGCAGGGCCGGGACGCTGGGGACCAGCACATCGTGGACGTGGTGCTGAAGATGCTGCAAGGTGAGGGCGGAGCAGGGGCCACCACATCCCGTGGATCCCATCCCATGGATCCCATCCCATGGATCCCGTCCTGTGGATCCCACCCCGTGGATCCCTTCCCATAAATCCCACCCTAGGATCCCATGGTTCCCATCTTGTGGATCCCACCCCATGATCCCATGGTTTCCATCCCATGGATCCTACCCCCGTGTGTCCCTTCCCATAGATCCCACCCCATGGATCCTATGGATTCCATCCTGTGGATCCCACCCTGTGGCTCCCATCCCATGAATCCTGCCCCGTAGATCCCTTCCCATAGATCCCATGGATCCCATCCTGTAGATCCCTTCTCATAGATACCACCCTATGGATCCCATGGTTCCCATCCTGTGGATCCCACCCTATGGATCACATGGATCCCTTCATATGGATACTACCCCATGGATCCCATAGATACCAACCAATGGATCCCTTCCTATGGATCCCATGGTTCCCATCCTGTGGATCCCACCCCATGGATCCTATGGATCCCACAATATGGATCCCATAGATCCCACAAAATGGATCCCTTTCTATGGATCCTACCTCATGGATCCCGTAGATCCCACCCACTGGATCCTGTCCTATGGATCCCACCCCATGGATCCCTTCCTATGGATCCTACCCTATGGGTCCCATGGATCCCACTGGATGGATCCCACCCCATGGATCCTGTGGATCCCTTCCTATGGATCCCATGGTTCCCACCCCACGGATCTCATCCTGGCCCCTCTCTGCCCCACAGAGCAGCTGGCAGAGGTGGCCGTGAGCTCCAGGAGAGCCGCCCTGGGCGGGGTCGGGGCCGTGGGACCCCCCGGCCCCCCCGGCCCCCCAGGGCCCCCCGGTGAGCAGGGTCCCCACGGCCCCCTGGGAGCCCGAGGTGTCCCCGGAATCCTGGGAGCCGCCGGGCAGGTCGGGAATGTCGGACCCAAAGGTGGGTGCTGGTGGCACGGTGCCACGGCCAGACCTGCTGGGGTGGCACTGTCCCCGCCCCTGGTGGCCCATCCAGCGTTTCCATGGATTCATTCCCTCCTTTTGGTACCCACAGGGAAGAGAGGAGAGAAGGGCGAGCGGGGAGAGGTTGGCCGTGGCCACCCGGGAATGCCAGGTCCTCCAGGGATCCCAGGTGAGACCAGGTGTCCCCTGCACTGACACGGCCACGTGGCCTTTGTCACCCTGTGGGGATGAGCCCAGCGCTGCCTGGGGACATTCTGATCCATCCCACAAAAACTGCACGGGTTCATCCCACAAAATCTGCACAGGTTCATCCTGTAAATCTGCTCAGGTTTATCCCACAAAACCTACACAGATTCATCCCACAAAAACTGCCTGGGTTTATCCCACAAAATTTGCACAGGTTTATCCCACAAAAACTGCCTGGTTTGTCCTGTAAATGTGGTAGGGTTTATCCCACAAAACCTGCCCAGGCTCATCCTGTAAATGTGCTCAGGTTTATCCCACAAAATTTGCACAGGTTCATCCCACAAAATCTGCCTGTGTTTATCCCACAAAATTTGCACAGGTTTATCCCACAAAAACTGCCTGGTTTGTTTCTCAGGGGAAAATCCTTACTTCCTGGGAAAAATCCCTATTCCTCATGGAAAATCTCTATTCCTCAGGGAAAATCCTTATTTCCTGGGAAACATGCCTATTCCTCAGGGAAAATCCCTATTTCCTGGGAAAAATCCCTATTTCTCAGGAAAAAAAAAAATCCCTATTACTTGGGGAAAATCCCTATTTCTTGGGGGGAAAATTCCCTATTTCTCGGTGGAAAAATCCCAATTTCTCAGGAAAAATCCCTATTTCTTGGGGAATAAATCTTGATTTCTCAGGGAAAAATCCCTATTCCTTGGGGGGGGAAATTCCCTATTTCTCGGTGGAAAAAATCCCAATTTCTCAGGAAAATTCCCTATTTCTTGGGGAATAAATCTTGATTTCTCAGGGAAAAATCCCTATTCCTTGGGGGGGGAAAATTCCCTATTTCTCGGTGGAAAAAATCCCAATTTCTCAGGAAAATTCCCTATTTCTTGGGGAATAAATCCTGATTTCTCAGGGAAAAATCCCTATTCCTTGGGGGGGAAAATTCCCTATTTCTCGGTGGAAAAAATCCCAATTTCTCAGGAAAATTCCCTATTTCTTGGGGAATAAATCTTGATTTCTCAGAGAAAAATCCCTATTCCTTGGGGGGGAAAATTCCCTATTTCTCGGTGGAAAAAATCCCAATTTCTCAGGAAAATTCCTTATTTCTTGGGGAAAAAAAAAATCCCTTTTTTTTGGGAAAATTCCTTTTTCTTGCGAAAAACCCCTATTTCTCAGGAAGAAAGCCCAATTTCTCAGGGGAAAAGCCCTATATCTTGGGAAAAATCCCTATTCCTCATGGAAAATCTCTATTCCTCAGGGAAAATCCTTATTTCCTGGGAAAAATCCCTATTTCTCAGGAAAAAAAAAATCCCTATTACTTGGGGAAAATCCCTATTTCTTGGGGGGGGAAATTCCCTATTTCTCGGTGGAAAAATCCCGATTTCTCAGGAAAATTCCTTATTTCTTGGGGAATAAATCTTGATTTCTCAGAGAAAAATCCCTATTCCTTGGGGGGGAAAATTCCCTATTTCTCAGTGGAAAAATCCCAATTTCTCAGGAAAATTCCCTATTTCTTGGGGAATAAATCCTGATTTCTCAGGGAAAAATCCCTATTCCTTGGGGAAAACCCTAATTCCTCATGGAAAAACCCCAATTTCTTATGGAAAACCCCCAATTTCTCAACTTGACGCTTCTCCCGGCAGGTCTCCCGGGCCGCCCTGGGCACGCCGAGGATGGCAAGGCGGGCGAGCGGGGCCCGCCGGGCACGCCGGGGTCACCGGGTGCGCCGGGCGCCGCGGGGCCGCCGGGGCTGCCGGGGCTCTGCGAGGCGGCCGCGTGCCTGGGCGCCTCGGCCTACGCCGCCAGCGCCAAGGGCCCCCCGTTCTGAGGGGAGAAATCCCTTCCCCAGCCACCCCAACGCTGCAATCCCGCCGGGAAGCGCTTCCAGCCTTTCCCCGTTTTTTGGGAATGTTTTTCGGTCAACTTTGAAAAGTTGGGTTTGGGATAAAGGGTGTGTGCAACGCCTCGAATTCCTCGACCCCTCACGTCTTGTTTCCATCCGTGAGGGGTCGAATCTGCTCCCTGTGCCCTTCCCCCAAATATAAAATTCATTCTGATTTTTATTTTTTAATTCCCTGTGATGTTTGAAGGAGCTGGTGGAAATTCCCTTTTTAGCCATCCCTTTCCCCTTTTAAATTGGAATTTTTAAAGCCCACCCAAATCAAATTCATGGTTTGATTATTTATGACAATCCCCAGCTCCGACTTGGTCGCGCCCAGAGCTGTAAATCTTTGTAAAATAGGGATATTTTGTAATTGTGACGAGGAAAACACCAACTTTTGGAAAAACTGGATAATAAAACCAAGCTGGATTCTTAAGAACTGGAATGATGCGTGGATTTCTTGGGATCAAAGCCAGGCCGTGGTGGGGTGTGGAATTTTCAGGGTAGAAGTTGGGGATTGGGATGAAGCTGGGAAGGGGAATAAAGTCCTTTATCCCATAAGGAAGCAGCTTGGATGCCATTCCAGAGAAATTGAATCCCAAATGTGGAGAAGGAACAGCTGGAAAACATCCAACCCTGTCCTGAATCCCAAAAATCCCCGTGGGGAGAGGGGAAGGAACGGCCCGAATCCCAAAAATCCCAGCTGAATCCCAAAAATCCCTGTGGGGAAAGGGGAAGGAACGGCCTGAATCCCAAAAATCCCTGTGGAGAGAGGGGAAGGAATGGCCTGGCTGAGCGTCTCTTTCCCGGGAGATCCATCCCGATCCTTTTCCCTGGAATTCCCGCTGAATTCCCGTTGAATTCCCATTTTCCAACCCCTCCGCTCCAGCTGTGCCGCACATCTGGGGCAATCCCAGCTTTTCCTGGCTTTTTCTCCCCACGAGAGGGAGCTGCCAGTCCATGGAATTCGCTTTTCCAGCCTGGGATATTCCCGATAAACTCGGCTTTCCTTCTGAAGGGGCTGGAGCATCCCCCGGGATGGGGCTGAGGGGGGGGAAAGGGGGAAAATTCCCTTCCTTTGACCCCTTCTCATTTTTGGGATGGACGTGGAAGGGCTGGAAGGAGCTGGAAGCTGAGTTTTGGTCCTGGAGTGGGGAAAACCACTTCCAGGTGGGATCAGGAAATGAGTTCAGGTCCTGGAGTGGGGAAAAGTCACTTCCAGGATGGATCAGGGCTGAATTCAGGTCCTGGAGTGGGGAAAAGTCACTTCCAGGTGGGATCAGGGCTGAGCAGGGAAAAGCCACTTCCCAGGACAAAGCAGGAAAAGCTCTGCTGTGCCTGAGGAACATCCTGGACATCCTGGAGGATCCAGGAATCCTCTGGAGCTCCTCAGTCCCACACTCAGCACATCCCGGGATGGGATGGGGATGGGATAGGGAATGGGATGGGGAATGGGATGGGGAATGGGATGGGAATGGGATGGGGACTGGGATGGGGACTGGGATGGGATGAGCTCCAGCACATCCAGGGACGCTGCTCCAGCTGATCCCGCTGCTTCCAGAGCCAGCACAGCTTCCCAAAAATCGCGGTGAGGGAGCTCCGCCTTGGCAAGGAGCAGCTCTGACCTTCCCGATCCATCCCGGGAGGCGCTGGGAATGCAGAGCCTGGCCAAGCCGGCGTCCGGGAAGATGAAAAAGCTCGGGAATGAATTAAAATTCCGGGAAGCGGCTGTCTGGAGCTCCTGCCTCACGGATTCTCCTGGGAGCCAGCCCAGTCCTTGTCACCTCGGCTGATCCCTGCTCCCAGACATCCAAACCTCAAAATCCAAACCGCGCCCAGGCAGGGCTCCTTTCCCAAGCAAATCCAGGTGGAATATTCCCAAATTATTCCAAGGGCTTTGAAGAATCTGCTCCCGCAGCCACAAAATCCCCGGGAATACGGCGGGGAGGAGCCCAGCCTTCGGTGGGACGGGAAAGGCAAAAGGGGAAAAGGGGAGGGAATGGAGGAATCCCTTTGGGATTGCACCCAGATTCCTCCTCCAGACCTGACGCCTACCGCAGGAGCTTTCCTTTGCTTCCCAGCTCCTAGGAAAAAAAAAAAAAATTGAAAGGGAGGATCGGGATAAATGATAGCCTGGAATACTTAAATTAAGTGGGCAGAGACACCTTCCACTATCCCAGGTTGTTCCAATCTAGCCTTGGACACTTCCAGGGATGTGGCAGCCGCAGCTGCTCTGGGAAATCCATCCCAGCCCCTTCCCACCCTTCCAGGGAGGATTTTTTCCCCAAAATCCCACCCAAAGCACCCTTTTCCCCTAAAGGCACCGCGTCCCCCTCGGTTATCCACCGGGACCATCCTGAAATCCCACCCCGGGACATTCCCGTGGCCATGAATAATTCAGGAATACCAGGAGCTGATGAGCCCAAATCACCTGGAGGAGGTGAAGATGAGCTAATCACGTTTGTTCTCGCTGATTAGCTGATTAACTGCTAATTAGAATATTAAACAAGGGCTTAAATACGTAAATGAGCTTCTGAGGACAGAGTTCGTTATTGGAGGTGCCATAAAATTCCTGATTTTTATTCTTGGATTATTGTTTGTTTTTGTTTTTTTTTTTTTTTTTTTTGCCTCCGTAAAAGAGGGATTTGTTTTGGAAGTGGTTTGTTCTGCTGGAATGTTGTAGGAGCTGGGATAAATTAATCCCAAACTCCATCAAAACACCGGGAATGATGCTCCCCGCCCCACAGGCAGGATACCCAAAGTTCAGGAAGATTCTCCAGGAATTCCCAAGCACAGCTTGCGGCTGGAAGTGTCCAAGGCCAGCATGGAAAAACCTGGCAGGATGGTCCTTAGGTCCCTTCCATCCCAAATCCCTCTGGAATTCTCTGGCTCACACCACGCTGCTCCCCAGGAATGGTTTCGGAGCTGCCAAGCCGGGCTGGGCTCAGCTCCTTTGGAAAAACCCTGGAAAACAGATGGGAACAAAATGGTGTTGGCAGCAGAGAAGAAGTTTAAGGATATCACATCCCAAATTTTGGCAGCCCAGAGAGGTGACCGGAGCAGGAACAGCTGCCAGGATTTGAGGGCAAGGCAGGGGAAATCACAACAGGAATCTTGGGAATTGGGAACAGGAATTTTGGGAATTCCTTGGAAGTGCTGGGGCTGAGCCCCCCTAACCTCTGCCAAAGCCTGGGGGTTAATTAATGCCACAACAAACCCGCGTTAAGAGGCCTAATTAATATTATTTAATTTACAGCTTTTTTTCCTGGAGCAGGAATGTGGGGGTTGGGCGGGAAGGGTCCCGTTCTCTCTTCCCATGGGATATCCCTGATAAAATCCCGCTGGAAAAGCCAAATCCATTCATCCAAATCCACCCAATTTGTCCGGATTTCCCTCCCCCGCCTTCCTGAAATTTTCCCCCTTCCTCTTTTCCGGGATGCGCTGGAAAAAGTCGGGAATCTCCATCCCTGCATGAGTGACGTGTCCAGAAAATTCTGGGATAAACCTTTTGGAATTCATACACAAACACCATTTAAAAAAAACCCCAAAAAACCAAAATAAAAAACCCCAAAACAAAACAAACCAAACAAACAAAAACCAAAAAACCAAACCAAAACAAAACAACCCAATTAAAAAACCCCCAAAACAGGGAATAAAATAAAGTAATATTAATAATAATAATAATTAAAAAAGCACCAGGGGGCTGTAAGAAAAAGCAATGCAAAAATCGAGATTTTTTATTATTCGGAAGTCCAAAATCGAAAATAGCTTTGAAATTCCGCAGGGAACGCCGGGAACACACGGAAAAGCCTCATATACAGAGACAGATAAATTAACTGGGAATTCTGCAGACAAGCCAGGGGCATGGAGAGATTCCATATGTACATTTTTATGGAAACCATTTATACACTTTATTACATTTACAAAAAAAAGCTGATTTTTTTTTTCCACTACTTTTTTTTTTTGTTTTTCCCTACGATAATGAAAAAAAAATTACATTTTGTTTTTTTTTATTTATTTTTTAGCTGTACAAACTTTTAATTAATAAAAATATATCTCTGTACAAAAGAGGGATTTGAGCTTTTTTTTGTGGTTTTTTTATCATTTTTCTCATTTTTTCCCTTTTTTTTTTTTTTCTTCATTTTTTCCCCTTTTTTCTTCATTTTTTCCCCTTTTATTTTCATTTTTTTCCCTTTTTACCATATTTTTTTTTTTTTGTTACCATATGCAAGTCCTCTGGGCACAAGGATGGAGAAATGGCATGGAGCAGATCCCAGCCAGCTTGCAAAAAAAATGGGATAAACCCCTTTTCCCACTTCCTTGGCTCCCTGGGCAACAGCAGGAAAAGGGAATTCATGGATCCAAAGCAGCAAATTCCGTTGAAGTCGAGCTCCCTCTTCTCCCTGCCTGGGTGATTTTGAATATTTTGGATTTATTTTACACTCCTGGGCATGAGTTTCTCCTGGTTTTTCCACGGAATGAGCATTTCTCCTGTTTTTTTTCCATGAAATGAGTATTTCTCCTGGTTTTTCCATGGAATGAGTGGGAGCCAGGTGTGGGAATCACCTGGAGCAACCAGGAGAGGATTCCCTGGAATTTGGACATGATCCAAGCTCTGCTCCCAGGGATTGTTGGAATTTTGGGCCCTGGAATTGGGACTGGGACATGGAATGGGTTTGGGTTACGTTTTGGGGTTTTTAGGGATAATTGAGCTTGGAAAAGTACAGGGATAGGCCAGGAGAGTCCAGCTTCCCAAAAATTCCAAGGGGTTATTCCAGCATTGTTCCAGAAGGATGGAATGATGGAGAGGGGAATATTCCCTTGGGATTGACACCATCCCAATCCATGCACATGGAATTGCAGCCTGGGATCCTCTCCAGGTGGGAGCACACCTGGATTCCAGGGTTCCCAAATCCACGTGGGAACATTTCCCTGATCCCTGCCCACGCAGGGAGGAATCAGGGCACCTTGGTGGGATTTTTGGGAGCAGAAATAGCCTTTTTTGGGAGCATGGGTGGTGTTTTTTGGCAGGTTGGGAATTCTGCTCCCTCTGGGAGAGCCAGGAGTAAGAAAAATAAAATATCGATGAGTTTACACCCAGAAAATCAAGGATAAACCTAATTCCCAAATTGTCCCATGGTTTTCAGCAGGGAGGAGACAATCCCTGCTGGAATGGGGGCACGGATGGAAACTCCCATTCCAAAGGGTTCATCCTGATTTTCCTTGGAGCCTCCTGGACTCAGTGACCTGGGAATGGCACTGCTGCCTCCCCTGATCCTAAAAAAAAGTGACTCCAAGCAAATTCTGCATCACAAGGATCCAGAGGAGGGAAATTCCAGGCTGCCTTCCCTGCTCCCACAGAATCCCAGGAAACCTCAGTGCCCCTGGGAAAACAACAGGAGCAGCTCGGGATGGGAATGAAAACTCCTCTGGCAT